AGTTTGGGTCAGGTTTTATCCCAAGGCTACTAGCAGGCAGAAGCTTGGTATCATTAACTGGGGTGATTTGGAATGCCTGCACTTTGGCGACACTGGGAGAGCCCAGTGGCCAAACAGACACCTATTTTTGAGTGTGTGGGAGGGACCTGTGTGTTTAGGGGAGGGTAGGTTTCATGTGCTTACTGACATTGAAGGAGTACCTACTCCAATCAGTTTGTCTTCTGGAATTTGGAAATGGCAAGACAGAAAAAGTACCTCTTTTCTTTGGATTGAATATATTTTATGATTTAATTTATCTTTTTGTTGGCTCATAGTTGTGTTTCTTAGTTATGTCATTGTAGAGGTTGCTTTAGGATTTTTAGTATACATCTGTAATTTACCAAAGTCTAATTTTAACATCAGTGATATTATAGTAATATAGACACTTGGATGAATTGTATGACATCCTTACAATAGAATCTTCCATTTTCTTTCTCTCAGGGTTTGTGTTATTTGTTATATATGTTATTTCTATATTAATTACATACCCAACAATACATTGTGCATATGTTTTTTGGTTTTGTACTCATCATAACCTAAGAGATTTTGAAAAATAAGGCAAAAAATCAATATTGTTTGTAAAGTTCATTCATGTTGCATGTGACTGTACTTTATTTTAGCATTTATAGTATTACAATGCATGCATATTCTATTATCTATTGCTGAAGAAAGTTATATTGTTTATGATTTTCACAATTAGGAAAATGCCCCAGGAACATTCTTGTACATATATTTTAAATCCGTGCATTTTGTTTAAGCTTGAAGAGACTTGCTTGGGCAAAGGCTATGCAGAGTTTCAATTTTATTAGATAATGGCAAATTGGCCTCCAAAGTGATTGTGCCAAAATATAAATTCATAGTGATATATGAGAGTTCCACTGCTATTTGCTGGGAAATTGTTGTGGATATTGATGGGAAGAATGTTGTGAGGTTTACACAGTGCACAGCCTGATATCTGCATGTGAGAAACTGGAGGTCGAGTACCTTATATGCTCATTTTTTGCAGTGACTGTTCAAGTGTTTTGCTCTATTTCATTATTTGTCTTTTTCTTATTCCTATAAAGAACAAGTCAATTAGAAAAAGAAAATAGTAAAACATTTTCTGGGTTAGTACTACTTCTTTGTTGGTTAAATTTATTGTAAATATCTTTATCAAATTTGGGGCTTGATTTTTCAGTCTCTTAAGGTATCTATTGATCAAAGCTGTGTCTAGTACTTAGGATACCTTTTTACAAATTGCAGAAAGACTCCCTCTTTGGTGGTGATGGTATAGGATAGACTGAATTTCATCTTCCACTGGCTTTTGTCAGATCTTCATATATATTTGTATCTATATTATCTATCTATTTATAACTTTTATGTTATATATATGAAATGAACATAAAGTTATATGGCAATTATATCTCAATTAAAGAGACATCCAGTTTATATTAGTATAATGTAATCAGGGATAAGACTAATGTTTATTATAGTCATATAGAGAGTTTTATTTAGTTATTTTCACAGTTCTCTTTTCTCATAAAGTTGCTCTCTAACCAATGGCCACATTTAATGGGATACATTTACTATAAACATTTATTGTCATTACACTTAAGGTGGTTAGTGAGGTGGTTCTGTCGACTTCGGTTGGGCTTGCTCATGTGGCAAGAAGATGGCTGGCTATACACTTTATCTAGTCAGCACTGGTGTAGCGTCCGGACAAGGCTAAGTGGATCTTTTGTTCCTGCAGCAGGCTAACCCCAGCATATTTCCATGGGGTGGCAGATATGAGAGTACAGATGGAAAAACTATCAAAGAAAACCAAGGACTAGACAGCAGCTGAAGTGGTAAAAATTGACTTTATTCCAGACTACTGCAATAGTGGAAAAGACCTTAGAATAGAAATGTGTTCAATTCCAAACACAGCATGGGCATGTGGGAATATATAGTTAAGGAGTAGGATGGGGATCAGTGGATAGAAAGTTACTAAGGAGAAACATCAAGATAGCAAGATTTTGGTAAAACTGACATAAATTGGATTCTTTGCTGAAGATAAAACAGGGTGATCAGATATTATCTAGGGTATGGTGGAGGATAAGGAACTCAATTAGATATAAACAGTGATCAGGTATAGAGGGTGGAGAAACTCTGGTTAAACTTACTTAGCAAGTTCTTACTGAAGCTGGATTTTACAAGGAACTGAACAGATGGTCCTAGGAAAAAGTTCAAGGACATGGCTAGAGTTTGGTTAAACAGAGAATCTTTATCAATACTCGGGTATTTTCAAAGCTTTGCTTGGATAAAAGCTTGGATAAGTTCTACTTATATCCTCAAAACAGTGAAGCATCAATGAGGCCCAGGGAGGGCTTGCTGTGTCTAGAATTTTCTCCTCTCTCTCTCTCTCTCTCTCTCTCTCTCTCTCTATATATATATATATTTTTTTTTTTTTTAAAGATTTATTTATTTATTTGTGCATACAGAACTGGGGTACAGGCCAGAGGCTCAGGGGCGGTGAGAGGCTTCACCAGAGACAGAGTGGGGAGCAGAACAGGCAGATTTATGAAGTACACTGCTGAGGGGAGTAGCGGGCGGGTCAGGAGAGGTCTGGCTCGCCATGTGGTCTCTTCCGGTGCAGGCGGCAGGCAGGAATCGAACTCATGCGGAAGTGGCTTCAGATTCTCAGTGCTGTGCTTTAACCCGCTGCGCCACCAGGGAGGGCCTATTTTTATATTTTTGTTCTTTGTTTATGGTGCCTAAGCAGCTCAACTTCCAGGCATAGCTGGGTTAATTACATCCAGACCTGCTGGACTCTTAACACTCATGCTCTTTCCTTTGCATGGAGCAGTTTGCTTAGAGGCTAACAGTGAAGATGAAGGCAAAGTCTGGAAGGACTAGACAGAGAACATTAGGGTAGGGAGATTTTGCTTTATTCTGAAACCATATCGATGCCTGGACAATCATGGAAGAGAGTAGTGCCTGGCCTAGAAAGGATTAGTCTCTTTCCTAGAGTGGAGGGTATTATATCCCTCTAACTCTCTAATGTTTTCTCTAAGATTATGGTAGGATTAAATTATGAAATTGAGAAAATATTTACTGGACTTCTCTGGATGCTTGAATGTCTGGTAGAGAGGGAAAGTGGTGGGGCCTCATCAGTGCTGGGAGCAAGTCAGACCACGACTACCCTGAAGAGGAGGGCTGTTCCCTCCCCAGGGATGGATGCTCCAGGGCTGGAGAACGGCTCTCATTGTTCACGAGGTCTGGGTGGGAACACTTCCATGGTGTTGGCTCTCTTGCCCCCAGAGACATTGTGAACATGTTTGTTCATTCTTCTGTCAACCCCACTCCAAGTTCTCCATAAGAAAAACCAAGAAACAAGTCTCCCTCCATAGGTACCATATGCCACAGCCACTAAACCTAGCTCTTGAGACAGCACTGTTAGGAAGCTTAGGATACATTGTTCTGGGGGAGAGAAGAGCAGGTGAGCCCTCATTCTGTTAGGGATAGAAAGGGGCCCTCACTCTCCTCCAGAGGAGTGCAGCTGCACTTCTCCATCATGACCTTCCAGCTGGCGCTGTGGCACTCCTGTACTGGAGAACACCCAGGCGCCTCTGTATTTATCATATCCTTAACAGTCCTGGCCTATGGCTAAGAAAAGCATCAGCTATGGGCTGACTCAGTACATCCCGTGGGTGGGTTGGGGATCAGGCCCCTCCCTATCTTCCCCTCAGACCTCCCCTCTGGCAATTTCTCCTACTCAGAAAGAGGGAGGAAGGATAGTCAGGGAGTTGGAAAGAGTGAGAGAACACAGGGGCCTCTCTCAGCTTGGGGACAAGGGCCATAAAAACCCTCCTGACCTTGCTGCTCTCTACTTTCTGAGGCTGCTCACTGCTTCCTGCAGAGTTTGGTCTTTTGTTTCTGGAAAAACCCCTGGAGGTGCCACTTCCTGAGTTTCTTTCCCTAAAAACCCCAAGGTCTCCCATATTCCCATGTCGTGGTGCCTACCAATCCATTATTGTGACCTCTGGCCTTCACCCTCTTCCCATCCTGTCTTTCGCTTTTTTTTAATTTTTTTTGGAGAGTGTCAGACTCAGCCAGTTGCCTCCAAATATGTGCCATGAAACCACTATCCTCTTAAGTGTTGGCGTTCCAAGCCTGAAACTCAAAAGGAAAGGAAACTCTCAATTTAATTTTGTGTTTTAAGAAATGGTGAGGAAGGAAGGAAGGGGAGGAGGGAAGAAGAAAGGATAAGAGGAAGGAAGGAAGGAGTGAGGGAGGGAGGGAAAGAAGGGAGTTGAGTTCAACCTTCTGAAATCTGTTAGCATGTCTCAATTTCTCTTCATCCAGTCTGTGATCAGTTGGGTGCAGACAGCTATTATGTCTGGTGTAATGACCTCTGGGCTTGTTGCCCTGTAACCAGCGCAAAACACAAGCATGATCTCGGCACTTCCCCGCTTTGGACTTTTAAGTGGCTTTAGACTTCCTGAAAGGAAAACTCAAATCTTTGCATAAGACCTTTCATCACCTGGTTTCTGTTTACTCACTCAGCCCCACTTCCCCTCTACTGCCTGAGCCATTGAAATGTGGGACTCTCCCAGGGTGTAGCCTTCATCCATGCCTCTGTGCCTTTAGCTTCTTATCTTTGTTTCCTTCTTCTCCAGTACACATACCCGCTTTCAAATACTAGTCTGTGTTATTGCTGTTACTACTTCATGGGGTTAGTATGAAGTGTATATAATAGACATTTGATGAATGAATGAATAAAAATCACATGCGGAAAGTAGAGGAGAAAATTGAAAAGCTAGAGACAAAAGCTTATTTTGAAGATGGTTATTGTGAATTCCAGATAAATAGCAATTTTTCACAAAATGGATAACAAGTTCTCAATGATGAAAGCAGAATGGCAAAGCCAAAAGATAGATGTCTCACTTACACACTTACCCGTGGGCTAGTCAGTGATGTGAGGACCTACAAGTCCCAGAGAGTCAGGCAGGAAGCTCCCTATGGGTGGGCAGGGACTGAGGCTTTTCACTGGGGACCTGTGGCTGTGCCCTTTGGAACAGAGTAGCCAGGTGCTGCCTGATTTCCTTGGTCCTGGCCCCGTAGATGACAGGATTGACAAGACAAGGGAGTAGCAGGTAGAAGGCACTGAGCAGGTTGTGCTCATCCTGGGAGGCACTGCGGGCCACACGGTAGACAATGGGTGAGGACATGGTGGAGGTGTAGACAGTGAAGATGACCAGCAGGTGGAGCCACAGGTGTTCAGGGCCTTGAAACAGGCTCCGCCTGATGAAATTTGAAAGGCAGCTTGGATAATACGGGAATAGGAGGCTCCAAGTAGCAGCATGTCCAAGACTCTGTTGAAGATGCGGAGAACGAGCCCCACAGTCTTGTTCAGGGAGATGTCCCCACAGGAGAGCTTCATGAGGGCTATGTGCTCACAGGCAAAGTGGTGGATCACATCTGAGCGGCAGAAGTGAACCTGGGAGGCCAGCCCAACCTCTGGAGCAACGATGCTCCACCCCCAGCAGGCCAGTCAGCAATGGGCCGGTCACTATCTCTGGGTAGCGGAGTGGGTAGCAGATGGTGACAAAGCGATCCAGGGCCATGACAAGGAGGATGTTGCAGTCAAAGACAATGAGGAAGTAGATGCAGAACATCTGGACCAGCCATCGAGCCAGGGAGATGCGGTTGAAGTGGGGGGAGAAGTTGAAGAGCATGGCGGGGATCACAGTGGTGGCGGTGCAGATGTTGAGCAGAGCAATGGGCAGGTACATGGGCTGGTGCAGGCTCCTGTGGACCAACACTGTGTGGATGACCAGGGCGTTGGCAGAAACAATCACCAGGTAGAGACTGGGGAAAGGCAGCACCAGGAACACGCGAGACTCCTGCACCCCAGGAAAGCCGATCAGGAGGAAGCTGCTGTAGGACACATTGGAGCTGCTTTTGTTCCACCCTGACATCTTCCCTGAGGAGGAGGATGACTCTGGGAGAAGAAACAGGTGACTTAGTGTCAGAACCCACCCTGTCTGCCCAGCCTTAGTCTCAGGCTGCCTTGGATGCTTTGCCTCTCATGAACTTGAATATTTCTGTAGAGAAAATGCAGTTATTTGCTACAACTTAGTGAGGTGCTTCAAAAAATAACTGCCTTCCACAGCCTCCTCTGCCTGTTTTTCCATAAAATTTCCTCCTTTATTTTTTCACTAACAAACCCTTCTGAAAACTACTTTGTGGTGGGCATTACACTAGCATCTTGGAATATACAATTAATAATTGAGTCTGTTTGTCCTGAATAAACTCACATTGTACTGAGCAAGATTGAAGTGATAAGAAATGAAATAAAGCAATAAAAGGAGGTTAAAATGGAACTTTTTCCATCCATGCTTCAGATGATATGCCCAAAGCTCAAGAATAACACACAAGGCAAGTATTCCTTCTTTCCAGACTACAGTACTGGGACGAGGGGCCTGGAAACTGTCCTTGTGACCCTTAGCTGAACACCCAACCAGAGTAAACACTGTGGAAAGCAAACTGGCATTTTCCTGGGGAAGGACGAGCCTTACATCTGTCCCTAAGTCAAAGAGGGGTCCTTCAGGGTTCTGCTGGTCACCTTGGTCAAATAAGGACCCTACCCTGATGGGAGCCTGAATCCTCAGAAACCCTGACTTCCTGGGCCCACAGATTTGCTGGTGAATGTGGCAAACTATGGGTCTGGGGTAGGCTCCAGATTCAAAGACCTTAAAACTTGGGTTAAGAGGCTTTGTAGATAGATACTCAGGTGATACCTTTCTTTGTCTGGGCAAGGGGAGAAGGGATAACTTTTGGAAATCCACCAGTTCTCGCCAGGTTAGTCTACCTGGGTTAACCTCCGAGAATCTTTCTGGCCTCTCTGTCTGGCTAAACACAAACTTTCTTACTTATCAGGACTTGTGCAGGTAGGAGAAGTAGGTGTAGACCAGGTCAGATCGTGGGGTCTCCAAATGTAGTTAAATTCACCTATCTTTTTCTGGGGAACTTTTAGTGCTCCTCAGTACCCCCTCTGGGCTCCGGCTTAGCCTATTATCAGGGTCCCTGGGATAACTAGGGTGATACTGTGTCCCTGAAGGTCTCTGTGGACAGAAACCTGCCCTGTGTGAGCAGAGAGCAGCATCTTGATTCAGGCATGCTGAAGAATAGCTGTAAATTGGTGATGGAAATTCTATGGGGACTACTCCTGAGAAAAGAAAGCAAACTGTAAGAAAAAAAAAATAAAGCCTTTGTTGAGCTGTAACTCACATACTATACAGTGCCTGCACTTAAACCACTTAGTTCCACTTCCCATTGAAGAGTACAACTCAGTGCTTTTTAGTAAAGTTAGAATTGCACAACTGTCATCATAATCAACATTATCATCACCCTTACAGAAACTCTGTATCTAATTGAACATAGGAAACCATATGTGGGTCCCCTCCCTGGGTGGGGATTGAACTCAGGCCACGCAGTGTTAGCACTGAGATTTAACTCCTAGGCTACCAGGGAGGCCCCCTGCTCCTAGTTTTTAATAATCACACAAAAAATCAGGAATTTGTCCCCAGCTCCCTGACTGCAAATTGAAGCTACGAGAACAGGAGGGAAGTAAAACAGTATGGTAAGTCAGTGCTAACACAATAAAAATGATACAATTAAAAACAACAATAACAATAAAGCTCTCCTTCTAGGTGTGCCTGGTCACCCTCCTTGGGCCTGCCCTGGGCATCCCCCACTCAGTCATGACCTCCACCATTCTCTCCATGTGAGTGGGCACGGACCAGGAGTAGTCAAGTCCTCTTCCTTTTAGCCACAGCCTGATCTTTCTCCAACACTGTGCCCATGTGATGTCAGCAGACATAGGGTATGTTCTCTGTAGGGCAGGTGGATAAGCCCACAGGCTGTCAAGGCCGGTGTGAGTGGGTGAGGTGGGGGCAGGTGGGGGCCGGAGCTTGGCAGGCCGCCTAGCCCCTGGTGAATGTACATGTTTTCTCTTCGGGCTCTCTGGTCCTGCCTTTCTGTAATCACTTGTGCTCTCATAGCTGTAGCCATTCTGAGGAAGTCACAGCGCCAGCCTCTGGGCTCAGATGTGCACACTTTGCGCATGCTCACACCGTGTTTCTGATGCCCATCACACATGAATGCCCGGTGCCTGTGGTCTGCATTAGCACTATCAAGGCTCCAGGTGATAGCCACAGAGGACAGCGGTGTAAAATTCTGACTTACTTCATTTACCATTCAGTCCAGTTGTGAAAACGGATTTCTGCCCTTGTACAGACCCCCAGCCTCTCCATCCTCCACCCTTTGGGGAAGGGGCCAGGGAAACATCCCATGGGTGGCAGACCAGTAGGTTCCAGGCTAGGTAAGAGGCTTCTTCTATCCTTGGGGATTGGGGGCATCTCTCAAATCTTCTCCCATGCAGGGAAGAGCTAGTTCCCATCAGGGCCCAGCCTGCCGTGGTGAAAGGGGCCTGGCTGGTTTCTTTCATCTGGGTGAGCTGGGCAGAGCTGGACTGGCTAAGGTGCTTTCCTGTACCAGGTGCTTTTTCTTCCTTAGCAGAGTCCTTAGGTGAGTCTGCTGAGGAGTCAACTAAAGTCTCTTTGAGACAAAGAAAGAAATGTTGGGTCCAAGGAGGATGAGGCACCTGATTCTGAAGGGTCTGCCTTGATTTTTCTGGAGCCTAGGGTCTGACTTTGAAAAGTCCTGGGCCTCTGACCCCTGTTAATGGTTGTGGCTGGAGGATTTCCACTTCCTCTAGACTCCCTCAATGGGTCTTTCCCCTGGCTGGCTAGGAGCTGGTGGGGGGTGGGTGGATTGGGGACATAGGGAAGAATAACCCATGCGGCCATCGCCTGCCCTGGCCAGGTCCTGAGCCTGGGGTGTCACCTGCTGTATCTCATTTGAAACTCTTATGCCCTGGCAAGGCAGGAATCATTAAGCCCACTTTACAGAAGGAAATGAGGCTTTGAGAGGCTGCACTTGGCTCAGGCTCAGCATTAGTAAGTGGCAGAGCTGTGACTTGAAGTCAAGTCTGTTTCAGATCCCCACACCCATGAGATCTGGGCCTGGGCCTGGGATGTGGTAGCCCCAGCTCCCTGCAGGAATGGGAAACAGGAAGGGGGCACTCTGAACAGTCAGCCCACGAGGCAGGTCTTAGGGTGAACAGGATGCACTCAGCAGAGTATTTGCTGTCTCATTTGTGAGAGGAGGGAGGAGGCTTTCTGAGAATCTGCTGGCATGATAGTCTGGAGGCCTGGACACTGGGCTCACCTGATAAGAGCCTTACTGTGTGGCCCTGGATGGGTGAGTCTCATGTACATAAGGAGTGAAATGTCCCATTTTGAGGCTCCTTTGGGCTGAACTCTCCCATCCTAAAAAGGTGGGCTGCAAACCCAAAAACCTGTTGGCAGTGTGAAATATGGCAGGTGGTATGATATGGCCCATGTGTGTGCTGTGTGACCAGGGCAGGTGAGGGAGCACCTGGGGTTGACACTCCAGGAAGCCAGGTCTCAGGTTCTTGTTGGACACATGAAATTTCCCTGCCTGCCTTGCCCATAAAGAACCATATTTGGTTCTGTGTGTGTGAGCAAAGGTTTTGGAGTAAACTGTCCTTCCCTATCCATGTCTGAGATAGGGACCTTACCTAGGATCTGGGAGTAGGTCTCTCTAGGCTGTGGGGTTTGAACCAGCACCTGAGGCCTCCTGGGCAGCTAGGTGCAGCCTGCATTTTCCAGAGAAACCACAAGGTGGCACCCATGCACCATGGCAGGCAGAGGCCTCCATGGCAGGTGGAGGGGATGTGGGGAACTTTGCAGCGTTAGTTAAAGACATTTCAAGAATCAAAATATCAAAATTCCTGATATGCCCCTCAATACCTGCCACAGGGCTGTGAGCCCGTCAGTCAGAGCACACTGGGTCACTGTGGATGTCATGGCCTGGGTCTGTGATCCTGGCAAATTGTTTCTTCTCGGATACTCAGTGCACTTGACTGAAAAATGGGCATAGAAACAACACAGCTTCTCTTTCCTTCTTCCCTCTCTTCTTTCAATCTGTAGTGATTTAATTTTTCTTACATTTTATTTTTTTTTTAAAGATTTATTTATTTGTGCATACAGAACTGGGGTACAGGCCAGAGGCTCAGGGGCGGTGAGAGGCTTCACCAGAGACAGAGCGGGGAGCAGAACAGGCAGATCGACGAAGTACACTGCTGAGGGGAGCAGCGGGCGGGTCAGGAGAGGTCTGCCTCGCCATGTGGTCTCCTCTGGGGCAGGCGGGAATCGAACTCATGCGGAAGTGGCTTTAGCTTCTTAGTGCTGTGCTTTAACCTGCTGCGCCACCAGGGAGGGCCTACATTTTATTTTTATGGTTTCAGGGACATGTAGAATAACAACCTCATTTATCTTCTCACTTTTGACAGCTTAGTCCTGCAACAGACCTGATATCAATTCCTTTTTTTTTTTTTTTTAAGATTTATGTATTTATGCTTACAGAACTGGTGTACAGGCTAGTGGTACAAAGGCGGTGAGAGGAGTCATCAGAGACAGAGTGGGGAGCAGAGCAAGCAGATCTACAAAGTACACTGCTGAGGGGAGCAGGTGGGGGAAAAAGGAGAGGTCTGCTGTGCCATGTGGGTCACCTCCGGGGGCTGGGGACCGAACTTGCACTGAATTGGCTGTGGCTACCTTGCAGTGCTGTGCCACCCATTGTGCCCCCAGGAGGGCTATGATATCAGTTCTATAGCAACTCTGTCAATATTTATTAAGAACCCACAGGTGAAGTAATGCATTCAGTGAATAAGCAAAAAATCCATAACAAACAGACAAATAGAAAACTCACAGGGATGCTCTGAGGATTAAGTGAGGCAACATCTGTACCTTAGCACAGCTTCTAACACCTCGTGTATGCGTAGCCTAACTCTAGAATTACCCTTGTCTATGGAGGAACCAGGTAAAAGCCT